CACATTCGCACATACAAAACAAACAAAATGTAATTTAAAAACATCTAAGCCAGTCGCAGTGGGGCACTCCTTTAATCCTAATGCTCAGGAGGCACAGGCAAGAAGATCTCTGTGAGTTCTGGGACAGCCTGGTCTACAGAGTGAATTCTGGGATAGCCAAGGCTACATAATGAGACCGTGTCTCAAAAAATAATTTTTTTTTAAAAGCTCCACGTGTTGGGAGCTTGGTCCCTGGGCTGGTGGTGCAATGGAGAAGTCATTGAGGGTCTTCTTATTGTATTCGTCCATTAATGGATTAACTATTTGATGCTATTGTTGTGATGTGGAGGAGAGTGGGAGTTGGGGTCTGGTTAGGTGGCCCTGCTTTTCCTTGCTCTCTGCCTCCTGTCCACTATTTTGTTCTGCCACATGCTCCCTGCCACTGTGGTGTTCTACCTCACCATGCACAGGCCATAAATAGTTAGTGACCAAGTATTGAAACCTCTGAAACCATGAGCCAAGTAAATCTTTCCTCTTATTAAGCTGTTTTTCTCTGGTGTCTTGTTTCAGTGATAAACATCTAACTAATGCAAGAGAGTTTGGCCAAGCTTGTACTCTGAAGCCTGGAGGACGTTTGTCTATGGACCCTGACTAGGTCCCTTTTTAAATTAAATTTATTTATTTTGGGGGTTGGGGATTTAGCTCAGTGGTAGAGCGCTTGGCCTAGCAAGCGCAAGGCCCTGGGTTCGGTCCTCAGCTCCGGGAAAAAAAGAAAAAAGAAAAAAATTTATTTATTTTTAATGTACTGGTGTTTTGCTTGCAATGTATGTCTGTATGAGGGTGTCAGATCCCTTAGAATTGGAGTTACAGACTGTGAGCTGCCATGCTGGGAATTGAACCTGGGTCCTTTGGAAGAGCAACCAGTGCTCTTAACCCCTGAGCCATCTCCCCAGCTTGTGCTGACTAGTTTTATGTCAACCTGACACAAGTTAGAATCATTTGGGAAGAGAGACACTCAATTGAAAGAATGTCCTCGCCTAACGGTCTATTGCCAATTAGTTACAACACCTGTGTCAACAGCACAGCCACCCCTATGAGCCCCCAAGGTGGTGGCAGCTGTGCATTTTCTTGATTGGTGAGTGATGTGGGAGGGCCCATCCCACAGGGGGCAGGTGGTCTTGAATTGTATAATAAATCAAGCTGAGCAAACCAGGAGGAGCAAGCCAGTAAGCATTGTTCCTCCATGGTCCCTGCTTCAGTTCCTGCCTCTTGGTTCCTGCCTTGAGTTGCTGCCCTGACTTCCTTCAGTGACCTGAGAGCTGTAAGATGGAATAAACCTTTCCTCTCCAAGTTGCTTTTGGTCCTGGTGTTTTATCACAGGAATAGAAAAGTAACTAAGGGGCCGGAGAGATGGCTCAGAGGTCAAGAGCACTGGCTGCTCTTTCAGAGGTCCTGAGTTCAATTCCCAGCAACCACATGGTGGCTCACAACCATCTGTAATGAGATCTGGCGCCCTCTTCTGGCACACAGGCACACATGCAGGCAGAACACTGTATAGATAATAAATAAAAAAACCAAACAGGAAATGGTTAACTGCTCTTGTACTGGGGGAGGAGAGGGCTTTTCTATGTAGGCATGAAAGGGTGTTGACGGGGCCAGGGAGATGGCTTAGCAGGTGACGGCACTTGCTGCCAAATCTGATAGCCTCAGATCAATCTCTGGGACCCTGTCACGGTTTCAGTTGTCAACCTGACACAAACCCAGAGTCGCTTGGGAAAATGGAACCTCAACTGAAGAACTGCCTCGTGAGACTGGTCTGTGGACATGTCTGTGAAGTCTTTTCTTCTTCTTCTTTTTGGTTTTTTGAGACAGGGTTTCTCTGTGTCGTATTGGTGCCTGTCCAGGAACTCACTCTGTAGACCAGGCTGACCTGGAACTCACAGAGATCTGCCTGGCTCTGCCTCCCCTGAGTGCTGAGATTGAAGGCGTGCACCACCGCTGCCCGGCCCTGTGAAGTCTTTTCTCAATTGCTAATTGATGTAGGAAGATCCAACCTATGATGGGCAGTGCCATCCTAGACAGGTGGTCCTGGGATTCATAAGAAAGGTATCTGCGCAAGCCAGAGGGAAGCAAGCCAGTGAGCAAGTGTTCCTCCATGCTCTCTGCTTCAATTCCTGCCTTGTACTCCTGCCCTGGCTTCCCTTGACAATGGACTATGACCTGTAAGCTAAAACAGATCCTTCCCTCACATTCCTTTTGGTCATAGCGTTTATCAGCACAACAGATAAACACACTAGGACAGACCTACATGGTGGAAGGAAGGACTGACTCCCACAAGCTGCCCTCTGACTTCTACAGCTGTACTGTGACATACAAAAACATACACACATAGTAAGAAATTTAAAAGGATGTAAGTGGCTTGGGGACCTTTATACTTGGGGAGGGGCTGAGGGTTCACAGATGGGTTGCAGGAGATAGGGGGTCGTATGAGCTAGAGGACACTAGAGGAGCGGGAGCAGGGATGCACAGGGAGTGGCCGGAATGTGAAAAGGCCCTTTTGTTTCTCTGTAAAGTGGGCAGTGAGGTGTCTTCTGTAGCCAAGGGAGCTACTGGAGGGCTTCAACAAGGTGGGGTTTTCAGCAACCCCTAAGTTAGGGAGGAGAAGCCAGGGTGCAACGTGAGCTGAAGGCCCAGTGAAGGATGGAGACAGGCCTGCTAGTCACTGCTTGGTGGACAGGGAAGTGGCCTGACTGTCCTCGGGCCGGGGAGGGTTACCGCAGCAGGCTCTGGTGATGGTGGGGTGCAACCTGAGATTCTGAATAGGACCCCAGGCTCTACACTTTTTTACCCCTCTTCCTGTGATTGCAAGGTGTCTCAAGGCTCATCAGGATGGCCAGGAGCTTTGAACACCTTGGCCTGTGAGCCCAGGGGAGTTGACTGGATGGACAGGGAGAGGATTCCATGAAAGTGTCATTGTTTAGGAATAGGTTTCCACAGGCTGGACAGTGGTCATTGAGTCATGTGGGTAGGACAGTGCGCCCTTCCCAACCTGGCAGATCTGGTTGTGTTCTGTCTGTGTCCAGGGACAGGCAGGCAGGAGACGATCTCTGCCCCAGAAAGCGAAGATCTTGCTAGATGTTCAGTGGTGAGGGAAACAGTGGGTAAATCCTTCCAGATTCCCAAGGAAGGGGCTGTGTAGAGAGGTTAACAGGGGGCCTACTGAAGGGTCCGAATATGGAAGGGGATCATTTCCTTTCTTCCTAGAAGGTGACAGAATCTTCTTATAGCAAGAATTCTACCTAGAACACTCCACATTTGGAAATAAGACAGTACCTGGTCCCCTAAGTGGCATGGCATTTACCTAATGCAGTGATTCTCAACCTTCCTAATACTGCGACCCTTTAATACAGTCCCTCATGTTGTGGTGACCACCAACTATAAAATTACTTTCGTTACTACTTCATAACTGTAATTTTGCTACTGTTATGAATCATAATGTAAATATCTGTGTTTTCTGGTGGTCTTAGGTGACTTCTGTGAAAGGGTCATTTGACCATCATAGGGGTTGGGACCCACAGGTTGAGAACCACTGACCTAGTGCAGGATGGTGCAGGAGTTCAACCTTCCTTCTTCCATTCAGGATGCACTCGAGACCATGCAGACTCAGTGGGAGCCTCGAGAATTAAGGACCTTCCCTGTTTCTACGGCTGATCTTTCCCACAGAGGGCAGAAGGCAGAGTCCCGAAGACTGTGAGGTGGGAGGGGACACGGCAACAGTGTTCCCAGTGCTGTGTTGACTTTCAGAGTAGGGCCTGCTTCTCATGCTGGGCAGAGGGTGCCAGCCTGCCTCAGCCAGACCCACAGCCACTAAGGCAAGAGGCATCTCTGCACTCGGGGCGTGTTCTCCACGTCCAGGAGCTCAGATACCTCCATGCCACCTTGAAGGACCTGCTAACCCCACTCTACAGCCTGTCTCAGATCCAGAATCTCCACCCTGCCATGCCATTCCCAGCTGGTTACAAAAGGCCCTGCCCTCCCAGGCTGAATGTGAGGTCATGCCCTCCCACCCCCTTACTCTCAGCAGAGCTGGCGTTTTCTCTTTTGGTTTTTAGTTTTGTTTTGTTTGAGCCAGGTATGGTGGAGCACACCTTTTATCCCAGCACTAGGGAGTCAGAGGAAGGCAGTTCAAGGCTAGCCTGGTCTACATAGTGAATTCCAGGACAGCCAGGGATGCATAGAGAGTCCCTGCCTCAAAAGATAAATTATTATATGTATATGGGTGTTTCACCTCTATGTGTGTCTGGACCACATGTGTGCAGTGGAGGCCAGTTACAGACAGCTGTGAGCCACCCTGTGGGGGTTGGGTATTGAAACCTGCTCCTCTGGAGGAATAGCCAGTGCTCTTAACCACTGAGCCATCTCTTCAGCCCACTGAAGTTTATTTTTCAGGAAGACATTTTGGGGGCTGGAGAGATGGGTCAATAAGGTTAAGAGCACTGGCTGCTCTTCCAGAGGACCCAAGCTTGGTTCCTAGCACCCATATCAAGTGGCTCACAACAGCTTGTACCTCCAGATCCAGGAGAGCCAACACTGTCTTCTGGACTCTGAGGGTGCCCACATACAAGTGGCATGTATACATACACACGAATATTTTTTTTTAAATTTAAAAAGGTATTTTTAAAGGCATGCGCCACCACACTCTAGCAAGACATTTTTAAGCATGAGCGTTCAGGGTGTGGATATGGATTTCTCAAGGATATGGACTTGTTCAAGGCTACGTGGCCTTGGGTGGTCACTTTGCAATGTTTCACACCCCATCCCCAATGAAAGGGCGTTTATTGGTTTCGCAATTCAGGGCTCCTGAAGCCTAGGCATCATGGCTGACCAAGGGAAGAGCTCAGATAGTCATTTTCACTTTCGTTTGTGAAGTGGCTCTTCCTCAAACCCAGGGGCCAGCCCACAACCCCAGATTCACATGATGTATCCCCAGATTGCCACTGACAGTTCAGAGACACCACACGTTGAGATGGCAGCTTTAATTGTCCTAGCCCTTAGGGTCCCTTTCCTGCAGGCATCTTTGGCCAGACACCCGTGCTTGACGGAGCCCAGAGCACTTTGCCCAGGTAGCCCACAGCCCTGTGGCCAGGCTGTGGGAACCCAAGGTCATATCAGTCTGTTGATTATCTGGTCTTCAAGGCTACTTCTGCCCAGAGCCCTGTTGGACAGTTGGGTGTGAGGCAGAACAGCCGCAGCCTGTGATTCTGGCCATCTTTAGCTTGTTCTCAGCGACAGTGGTGGAGGGAAGCTGGTTGGGAGGGACGCGTCTCCACCATAGCCACTGGTTTTCCTCCTGAGATGAACTTCCTTGTGCTTTGAGATGGGAGCAGAAAGTGGAGCTGCCAGCAGGGGTGAGGCCCAGCAGGGGTGAGGCCCAGCCAATGTCCTCAAGGCAGGATGAGAACAGTCATCTCACAGCACAGACAGAAATAGACAGGAGTGGGGCGCAGGGAAGCATCCACGTTCTCCACTTCCAGGGGGCACGTGGCCCAGCTCAGTGACTCACCAGCCTTCCAGGCTGGGAGGCTAAGGATGGCCTTGAGCGTGAACCAGGAGACCAGGCCCTCCCTTCCTGGATGAAAAGCCCCAGGCCTGCAGGGGCATCTGAGAGGCTAGAGTCCTGGCCCAGCTGAGCCTCAGTGGAGAGGGCGCCACCCGCAAGAGAGGCTGGAACTGACCGGGGAGCTGGGAGCATCCAAGCAGGCTGCGGAACCAGCCCCCAGGGCGCTCCAGGTGCGGTTTCTGCCAGCTCTGCTCTTCAGGATTCTACCTTCGGTACAAGTTGGGCAGACAGATCTTCAGCTAATGCCCACCCCGGTCTGTGAGGGTCTTGGCACGGCTGCCACCACCTCGAGGGCCCACGGGAGTGGCTGTGCTGTTGGCATAGGTGTCGTAACTGCTGTCTGAACACACGGAGAGCTCGTCAGAGACCTCCACACCATCACTGATCTCTGTTGGACCGGAGGAGACAGAGTGTGAGTGGGGGAGGTGGGCTCTGAGGACAGGGAGACAAGAGGAGAGGAAGGCACTTAGAGGCAGCTGTAACCAGTGGATCCAGTTAGTACTGATCCTGTGGGCACTGAGCCTGGTGTTCAGGGGCCCCTTGGTCCCTCCTGGGCCCTTAGTCCTCTGCAGCCCCCCCACCCCCAACATCCTGCTGCAGAAAACCGTGGCACCCTTAGGTGCCTTGTTACTCCATGTTTACTTTCCTCCAGGCATTTGGACACACAGGCTTCTCTCTGTTGAGTGACTTCCCTCCCCAGAAATCCCTCTTTTTCCTAAAATCTGGCTCAGGTCTCCCCATCTCTGGTATGTTGGTCTACCAGCCACCTCCTTGATTCCTCAGACTGGGTTGGGGTCTCCTATTTCAAGCCAGCCTGGTTCATCCAGCCCCCATCACAGCCCGCAAGGGTGGGGGCCTGAGCAGAGCCCCTCCAGGACACCTGTGTCCTAATGTTGGCAGAGCTGGACAGAGCCGAGGTTCTGGAAAGCGGCTCTGTGGAATGCTGCTTGGCTGTTTGTGCCTGGACAAGCAGCGCAGCCTTGGGAGCATACCCGTTCCCCCGGGAGCCTCCTTTTTTGTGTCTGAGCATCCCACTACACAGGCACCTCTGGTCCTCCTCCACACCCCAGCTATGTCACCACCCCAAACCTCCCTTGCCACCCCAGGGAGCTCTGAGCACACTTTCTGCCTTGGCTCTTCTCACAAGAGCTACAGTGACACCTCGTTTTGCCCATGTCTTTACAGCTGCCTTCATCAGATTGGGAACATCAGCAGGGACTGGCAGTGGACAGAGCATAGTCGTCACTTAGCGGAGTCATGTGTGAACCAAGGAAAGGTGTAGGACCTTCAAACAGACACCCCACCCCCTACCCCAGCTTGTCACCTTTGTTTCCCCACCGAAGGCTGACACTGAGCCCCTGGATCTGGGGTTGTCTGATGTGGAGATACATGTGTTTCTATCCCTCAGTATGTGCACGGGTGTGAACCTGAAAAGAGGTTATGTCCAACTGTCCTGCTGTGTTACATGTGCACCCCCTAATCCAGGGTCCATGCAGGCTGTCACCTGAGAAGATGAGCTTCTCTTTCATGATGCTGACGTCCCGGCTGGTCCGGCGTACGGCGGCACTCAGCATGATCTGCTCTGGGTTGTAGCTCCGGATGCCACCCAGACGCCACCTGCAGAGACGGCCCCATGGGCATCAGGTCCTTCCCTAGCTTCCCTGGAGCAGACACCCTGCCTATTTCCAGAGCCTCTCCTGATGTGGCCTGAGAGTCACAGCATAAATGGGTAAACTGAGGCTCAGAGAGGGGCAGTCTACTGATTCCCAGCCAAGGCTCTCCTGCCTCTTTCTCCCCCCTCATTTATCAGCAGCGCTGGCCCAGATAGGCAGTTTTATTAGTTATGTCCTAGCTGTCTTTGGATGGGACAGTCGAGGATGGGGAGGAGCTCAGCAGATGTGACTGACAACCTGCTTTATGGACACCCCAGCCTGAGGAAGCCCCCTCCTGTAAACCCGCCAATGCAATGGGCTGAGGAAAGCCAGAAGGGGCCAAAGAGGACAGTGACAGTGAGGTTTGTTTTGTTTAGGACTGGCCCTCACAGGTCCCCAGACAAGGATGTTAGAGGAACTTGGTATGGAGTTATCTGATGAGAAATAAGCACCCCGGATTCCCCAGGAGATGGGCCCCTGATGGGTGGTTGGAGGCAGTGAAGACTCCATATGAAACTCACTGTGGGTTTCTAGATGGGGCTAGCACAGCAGAAATGGACAGACAGGGTGGTGGGACAGAGCAAACGGGGGAAGCAGGAGGCAGGAGGGGAAGGCACTGTGCCTGGGCTGGGCCGGTTGCCTTGCCAATCCTTGTGGCCAGGGCATGTTCCTCTGGCTCCTTGTCAGGCCCCCAGTGCCAGCCTCAATGCCTGGCGAGTTGCGGTGTTGGGCAAGTGTTTGTTGAATCAATGAATGAAAGAACAAGGCCCACAGAGAAATTATCTTCCCCTTGCTTCATCTCCCAGGTCCCCTCTTCTCCCTCTGCCTATTCCCTCAGGAGACAATGACTCTGCCCGGGCTACGTCTGGTGGGCTCAGGACCACACCAGGCAGCACCATGTGGACTCTGCAGGTGGAAAGAAGTTAGTTATACAAGCTGAACTTCCTTTCCAGAGCTCAGTCCTGGACCCTGGCCTAGAAGCTGTTCAGCAAAGCTGCCTGACCCAGCAGGTCCTAAGACACCTGACCATCCCTAATACCTAGGTCTCACCTTAGCAACTAATGTTAGAATCCAATGGGGAAAATATCAGGCCAGGGTCTCTACAGCCAGGCACATCCGGGGCAGGAAAGCCACTGGGGGGGGGGGGTGTGTGTCTCCCCGGGGGAAGGAGAAAGGAGTGAGGGTGTGGGTCATAGACAGTGAAAAAGAAAAGGTGAGGGGAGAGATACAGAGAAACAGCACGGACCACTGGAAAGGAAGTCCCGAGAGACAGAAGCCAACGGAGCAGGAGAGAAACAGAAATGGGACTTCGCGCGGGGCAGGTGGCAAAGGGCCCCCTGAGTGCTGGACTTGGGGATGTGAGGGCCCTGTCCCCAGGGGAGACACTCTGGTGCTGAGGGAAGCTGGGTCAGCACCTACCAAGGAAACGCTGGTCCCCACCTGCAAAAACTGCAGCAGGGACCCAAAAAGTACAGCACCCACGGCCAGACCGGAAGAATCAATCCCAGCACGCAGGGGGCTGAGGCAGGAGGATTGAAAGTCGGAGGACAGCCTGGGCTATGTAGTGAGAGCTCGTCTCAAAGGAAAAAGGAAAAGAAAAGGAAAGAGCGGAAAGGAGGGTGGGGTGGGAGGGTGGAGAAGGGCCAGTGCTGCAGGCAGAGACGGGCAAGGTGACCCAGGCTCAGCACTTGGTGAACAGCAGCTTTTCAGACAGACCTGGAAAGGGAGTGGCCAGAAGGGGGAAGAGGAGCAGGAGGGAACACACCAGAATTACCTGATCAAGTGATAGCTGTGAGAGGCCAGAGTGCAGCAGAGAGGGGGAGGGGAGAGAGGAGGGACATGCGCCATCAGAGCAGGATGGGACAGAGAGAGAACGTCAGTCAAGAGCCAACCCCAGCCCCTTGGTTCCTGGTTGCCTAGGGCCCCAGGCTGGCCCAACATCTTCCCCTCCCCGGACCACCCATTCCACCCATGGCAACCATATGCCAGCTGTCTTAAGGGGCATGGAGGTTTCAGCTGGCAGAGTAACCCTCGGTTCTCCCAGGAGTGAACCCATGCCCTGGCTGACAGTGGGCAGACGGAGCGGGCAGCGTCCACCAGATAGCACACAGCAGATCAGGGCAAGGTTTGGCTCTGAGCCCCGAGCTGGGTGCTCATTCTAGAGGCCATCCAGCTTCTGCTGAGGGTGGGGCCTGGGCCTGCTGAGGGTAGGCTGGTTATGGACACGTTGGGGTCTACTCACTTCTGGAGCACGAAGATGCCGATGATGAGGCTGAAGGAGATCAGGTCGGCAGTGACCCACATGAGGCAGTACTCGTCTGGGGGCTGTGGAGAAAAGACCCAAGACCAGCTTACAGTCATGGCTCATCTAGACCAAGGGGCCATAGACTGCGGGACCTCTTACATTAGACTAATGAGGAAAGGCAGGGGAGGAGCTTGAGGTGCCTTAATATTTTATTTTGTAAGAGTGGACTCGGGCATGTTGGACTAAGGTGTGTGTGTGCATGCGTGCGTGCGTGCGTGCGTGTGTGTGTGTGTGTGTGTGTGTGTGTGTATTTCAGGGTAGAAGTGGTGTGTGGAGTCTCAAGTGTGTGTAAGTTTACAGGAGCTCAAAGCAAGAGCCAAATGACACAAGATGGGTCCTTCATTGGCATGTAAGGTGCCACGTGCCTGGCAGATGGATATATGACCCTACAAATAGGTATGGGGCAAGAGGACATTGATCACAGGGCCTGGGGAAAACAAAGCCCCATATGTACAGCCTCAGCACCTTCAACCTCAGACAAATGGGGGACCCCATCAGCTCCGTGGGGCCTGCACCCTTCTGCTGCCTGCCTGTTAGTTCATGTCACTTTCGAGGAGTGTTGGGGGCATTTAAGGACTACAACTGGAAAGTGGCTCTTTCAGGCTTGGCAGGGGCCTGATGAGCTGCATCGGTCTGAAGCTCACGGCCCAGACCTCCATAGCTTCCTGTCCACCACCGAAGTTCTCTTCTGGCCTTGGCCACACCTCTCTCCTGAAACCACCTGTAGCTTAGCTCTGACTTGCCAACACTGCTGCCCTTAGCAATGGGGCGCTTTCCCTGTCTTTGTGTCCTCAGGGACATGGGGTTCCCTCAGGGGCAGGGGCGGGAGCTCAGCTGGTCTCAGGTGCTCCATGACTGACCTCCACACACTCCTCATGGTCCTCCAAGTAGACCTGTGCTGTCCCCAGCCTCTTTTTGGAACAACTTTCTTTTAAAACCAAATCTAACAAGTGGCCCACAACCCAGGGAACTGTCAGTTTCTTGAGTGTTGGTTGCTAGGCAATGTGATCTTTCCATGAGTCAGACCCAGGGTCCCCAGCACTTCAGTACAGACCTCAGAAGCTGTGACAATCCCATTCTGCCTTAGCCTATAGCCCCCCCCCATACCATGGATGCCACCATCCCAGGTTCTCCCCAGGGGGAGCCCTGGCAGGTGACTGATAGCCCTAGATGCCCTCAGGCCCCACAGTCTCCAACTTACCATGATCCAGAGTGGAGAAGGCACCCGAGAAAGGGTATGGGAGTTGTCAGAAGTGACAGATGGAACCCCGGCACACCACAGCAGCGAGAAGAGCCAGGGTGCATTGACAGTGTAGAGGTTTACACTCAGGTTCCAGGATGCATAGTCCCTGGGCAGGGGACAGAGGCTGGTCAGCTGTCTCTAGGTGCTCTGCTGCTTGAAGCTGGAGGAGCACCCCGATAGACTGTCACCCTCACAGCCACCCCAGGAGGAAGGCATGTCTGCGTCCATGCTCACAGGACAAGCCCCGCTCTGCCCAGTGCTTCCGGTCTCACATCCAAACCCTGTGTGCCCAAGCTCCCTGTGTGTTCTGCCCTGTGCCCACATGTCATAGGTGGAGGGTTAAACTGGGGATACACAGTCCCTCCCTCCCTCCTTCAGGGGCACGTGGGGTGGCACAGGGCAGGCACCTGAGCTCCTGGTGAGACACCTGAGTGTAGCGAAGGTTCAGCTTCTGGATGTGACCTCTCCGTAGGCTGGCAATGGCTTCTTTAGATCCAGATGTTTGCTGGAAGCCAGGAGCCATCTTCCGTACTAGAGGCCTCTGCCTGTTAGGCAGCCACATGACCTGCCGGCAGGAGCCAGGGTGGTCAGGCTTCTCATCTCCAGATTTGGGGTGAGGGCTCTGGCCCTACTAGACCCTTCGAGGGTCAAAAAGAGGCCCGTCCACCATAATGGAGCCCATAGTGAACAACTCGGGCAGCTTCCCTGGTCAAGACAAGATGGGCAACCCCACCCTCCCCACCTCTGAGCATCTACAGAACTGTGTGTCACAGAGTGGCTTCAGGTTCCCAAAGTGTCACACCACGGTGATTTGGGTCTCGTTCCACTGAAGTAACCAGGGAACACAGGTGCCCACTCTCCTCTGAGAGATCGAAAGCACTTATTGGACTCTTTCCTGGCCCCAGAACGGAGCAGTCAGGAACATAAGGCGCACACAGCCCTGTTGTCCAAACGGGGAAGCTGAAGTGTGGTGAAGTGTGGAGAGGGGACAGGTGAGTCTATGGTGGTGCAAGGGGCTAAGCCAGGGTCACCAACAGGGCTTCACCTGGTGCTGTGGGAAGCCTGAATGCAGCAGGGCCTCCAGCGTGACGTTGAGGAAGCTGCCACGGTAAGGATGATCACGGGGCGGGTCTCGAAGGTTGAGCAGCAGTGTGGCATTACCTTTGGCTAGCTCCAGGAGCTCTGCCAGGCTGCAGATGGACTGGTTCTGGACCTCCCTGACATCTGAGGGTGACAGGGAGCTGGCTGTCCAGAAGGGGTCAGTCTGGCAGAGACAGGGACATACACGGCTATCACCAGCTTTCAAGCACCTCCCTGGCAATAGAGCATGGAGACCCAGGGCAGCCAGTGACTGCTGGTGTATTGGCAGTTGATGGCTGTGGCCCAGTTAGGGACCTAACCTTCACCTCAATGGTCCCCACCTGCTTCCCAAGAGAACCCTTTGCTTGGAGCCAGTCCAGTGTGGCCTTGAGTCCATTACGTAGCCAAGGATGACCCTGAACTCCTGATCCTCTTTGTGCTGAGATGACGCTACTCTACCAAGTTTATGAGGTGCTAGGGATTGAACCCAGGGCTTAGCACATGCTAGGCAAGCACTCCAAGTGAACTACATCCTCGGTCTTAGGGCTACAGCTTCAACAAGCCTATTAAGGATCAGTATCCTTGAGAGGGAAAGCCAACAGACCAGAGACCCCTTAACAAGCAGTGATAGCTCCAGGGTTTGGATGCCAGAGTCCACAGAAGGTCGCTGGCTAGGGTCCTCTGAGCTGATGGGCACCTGCCTCCTTCTTTAGGAGCCTTCCATGTCTCCCAAGCCTATGGCAGGCCCAGGTATAGGCAGACCTTGAGGAACCACTGGCCAGCGTTGAGCCTCTGCAGGACAGTCCAGTTGAGCATGGCCGCAGGCCTGCGGGCGAGCTCTGGAAACATCTGCTCCACATTGGTGGTCCGCCTCAGGGTGGTGTCATGCATGAGAAAGGGCACGCCGTCCAGGCTGCAGGAGAGGGTCACTGTCACCACCCACTCAGGGCTATCACCTGCCCCCAGTCACCACCCTCCCTTCTCCCCACCCTCAGAGGACACAGCTCTTCTGTTCCCATCTCAGCTACAGACTCCCCACCTACACATGGAGAGCATCCTGGGCCGGTGGGGACCTCAAAGGGCTCCAGGGACAAGTCCTTTGACTCTACGAAGGTCAAGTGCGGAAGACAGCTGAGGAGGGGAGGGCTGGGGAAAGTGAGTTCTGTCACTTAGCAACGTTAGGTGATAATGGGGGGAAGTGAGGTTAAGCAGGAAGCACTTATGTCAAGGTCTACGGCCACTAAGTGGTGGGACCTGGCCATAAACCAAGTCCTTGAGATGCCATATTGATAACAGTGCCAGCACAAGTCCCTCTGACAAAATCCGCCTACTTCCCTCATCCTTCTCATCCCGCTAGGGCTGGCCACGGTTCACAGAGCGCCATAGTGTGAAAAAGTAAAGGGCGCCATGCTTCCTGCTCCTCAAGGCATTTTATCAACTCCTGCCAGAGAGGTATGGTGTGTCTAATCCATGCTGTCCACACTGGGAGTGGTAACCTCACACGCACGGTGTAACTGTTCATTGCACACCCCATGGAATAGTATTTGGTGGCCCTGCCTTCTCCTCTGCCCGGGGGTGAGGAGATAGGTCGGTGTGGGTTTCTCCATCACTTATACTAACACATATGCTGATCTATAGATGGAAATGTGCACATCACTTCTGTATGGTCTTGTTTTGCTTTGTTTTTTTTTTGTTTTTTTTGTTTTGTTTTTTTTTGTTTTTTTTTGTTTTTTTTGTTTTTTTTTTTTTTGAGACAGGGTTTCTCCATGTAGCTCTGGCTGTCCTGGAACTCCCTCTGTAGACCAGGCTGGCCTCGAACTCGCAGAGATCCACCTGCCTCTGTCTCCCGAGTGCTGGGATTAAAGGTGTGGCCACCACCTCCTGGCTTCTGTACGGTCTCATATCCAGCACTGTCATTGTATTCTCTGTAACTTGCTCGCTTCACTTAGCCAAGTGTTTGCATTCACCCAGCGGAGAAACACGGATCTAATTCTCTTTCTAATGTGTCAGTGGCAGGGCTCCAGGTCCCCACACCCAAACCCTACCCGCCCAGGAGTCTGTTCTTTACATTCTGGAGTCTGGCACAAACCTCATTTGCACTGAAAGGGTGCCTGGCCTGTTGTGGACCATCCAAGCCTCCACCCTCCCACCGCTAAGGCAGGGTCCGGAGGTTTTACCCAGAGACCCAAATGCAGATGCTAGGGAGTGGGGAGCTGCCACTGCCCTCCTCCCCCATGCCAACCTGATGCTGACGTCAGCTTGCAACCCATACAGCTTCTGCTCCAGGGCCTTCCGGAAGGACATCAGGGTGTGTTCTGGAGCCAGCTGAAAAGGAAAGGGTGGTGAGGGCGGAGCTAGGGTCCCACTGATGACCCCTCCCCAGCCAGTGGGTAGTCGTCCCTGCTGGGAGGTCTGCTTCTCACCCTGGCTCATTTGTGGAGTTGCTGTGGCAACCCGGGCACCCACACAGCTGCTCTGAGGCTCAGGTTTTCCATTTGTTAGGACGTGTGTACCTCCCAGGGGACTGGGGGGAGGGGCAGCAGTGTGCTGGGTATGTACCTATGGAAGCCTGGCACAGCTAGGGCCTAGCACACAGTAACTCTGACCACATCACCCTTGCTGCACCACAGACACTGAGCAAGAGTCTGGAAGCAAATGGCCTTTTCCACAGGTCTGTGGCTCTGTGGCAGCCTTGGGCAGAGCCTAGTTCCTTCTGGATTAATCTCAGAGCCCAGTCCTGGTGGAGATTCTGGAGGGGGAAGGAGAGGAGATGGGGTTTCTGTGGTGTGACAAGTTTCTTCATCTATTCAGACATGATAATATTCTCTTCATCCATACACTAATACATGCATTAAAACCCAACTTAAGCTGCAACCCTACAGCAGATCACCCAGATCAGTTCCAGTCACTGCACTGCATGACCCTGCCTTGCAGCCTTGGGTGAATTCTCCCTCCTAAGGACCCACCTCCTCTTCTGCCCATTGGAGATGTGGGCTCACTGTTCTCTGAAAGTATTTACTCAGCTGAGGAGCGAGTTTCCAAATCTCCTTCAATTCCATGCAGAGTAAATTGTCATACCTCATCCTACCACTAGGGGTCAGCACCAAACCAGAGATTGGATTTAGACCCGGCAACTCTGAAGGCTGGCAATCATTTGAGAAGCCCACATGGCCGGGCGGTGGTGGTGCACGCCTTTAATCCCAGCACTCGGGAGGCAGAGCCAGGCGGATCTCTGTGAGTTCGAGGCCAGCCTGGGCTACCAAGTGAGTTCCAGGAAAGGCGCAAAGCTACACAGAGAAACCCTGTCTCGAAAAAAAAAAACCAAAAAAAAAAAAAAAAAAAAAAAAGAGAAGCCCACATGAACACACACTGGGTGACCCTGGACACAGTCATTCACAGTGACATCGAGGGGGCACTGGATGCCCCCCCAAACCAGCACTAAAGAGCCCGCAAAATGGCTTACTAGGTAAAGGTTCTTGCTGTCAAACTGACAACCTGCAATCCCCAGGACAGCATGGTAGGAGGGAACTGACTCCAGCTGAGTGTCCTCGGAATCTCCACATGTATTCTGAGGCATGAACCTTGCACCCCCAATCAAAAAAAAAAACATATTTTAAAGTTGACTTCACAGAGGTAAAGAGCAGAATAGTGGTTAACAGAGGCTAAGAGTGGAGAGAAAAAGGCTGGTTATCTGGGCAGAGGGAAGAGGTTCGGGCAGTCTGCAGCAGTGGGGGGCTGTGGTAAATGAGAACTCCCTGTATATTTTAAAACAGGCAGACGAGAGGATTCTGAATGTTCCTAACACAATGAAACAATGTGTGAGGTGACAGGTGAATCTCTTTGATGTGAGAATAATGCCTTGTACACACATGTGAGAATAACACCCTGACCTGCAAATATGCACCATTATACTATGTCGGGTAAAGAAAAAAAAAAACATAAAACTGAACACCACAACCAGGCACGGTGGCGCACACCTGTAACCTCTTCAACACGCAGGAGGGTGAGACGGAGGTCTTTGAGGTCTAGGCTATTCTGGGCTGCACATTGAGACCCTGTCTCAAACAACGGACATAATGAGCAAGCCACCACAGGGACGCGAGCAGCCAAGTGCACAGCTTGGGAGACTGTCTAGTGACAGCTTTGTCAACAGATAAATAGCACAGAGGAGAACGGGGCGGGTGGGGGTTGTCACAGAATAAAAGGCACCGAGGAGACATGTGTCAAGCAGATGGGCAGCATGATGGCATTTGGATCCTGATTTTAAAAATCTGTACTACAAAAAGATATTTGGGGAGAAAATAAAGGAAAGCTAAACTGTGATACTAGGTCATGTTAAATCATTGTTAATCTGGGGGCTGCAGAGACGGCTCTGAAGTTAGGAGCACTGGCTGCTCTTTCAGAAGGCCCGGTGTGATTCCCAGCACCCACGTGGCAGTTCACACAATGCCATGCAGTCCCAGGGGATCTGACACCCTTTTCTGGCCTCCACAGTGCCAGGCAAAACAACCGTACACATAAAAATGAAAATAAATACCTTAAAAATTGTTAATTTGGCGGAGTGTTATAATTATTATCATTATGTAAGTTTGTGCATGTGTGTGTGTGTGTGTGTGTGTGTGTGTGTGTGTGTGTGTGTGTGAGTGGGTGTGGGTCTGTGTGTGCACACATGCACACGCTTTACTGCACAGATAGAAGTTACAGGACAGCTTTCTGGAGTCAGTCCTCTTCTATCCTTATGTCAGTTTCAGGACTGAACTCCGTATGGCAGCTTTCATGACTTCCCCTCCGAGTCACCCTGTCCCAGCCTGCTGTTTGTTTTTAAGGCCTTATGTTCTGGGCATGGTGGCACACGCCTGCAATCCCGGCATCCAGGAGGCAGAGGCGGGAAGGTGTGTACTACTTTAAACCCAGCTTGTCTCAAGCAAGCAGATCAACACAGCAAGTCCCTCTGTGTTGGAGATACATCCTAAAGCATCCGCGGGTGAACTGGTCTAGGATCTGCCTCACTGCAGAGAACAGGAGACAGAGAGGTGGGAACAGCGGGCTGTTATAGAGCAGGGAAGGCAGCAATGGGGTCCCCATTACATGGTACAGCACAGTATTTTCACACTCGGTGCATATCTGAATTTTTTTTACTGAGGCTGCCTTGCTTCCCTTCCCCCTGTCCTACGCAGCAGCCTCCAGTCCCGCTGAGGTTGGCCCCCGCCCCCAGAAGGTCAGGTTTTAACTTCTCTTCACAGTAGCAATAGCATGGGCACCCCAAACTGAGGCTCAAAGGGGCTGGTGACCCCCACAATACACATAGGTAGCAAGGTGAACCTCCATCCAGTTTCCATTGGCTGCCCCTAGGAGGTGCCAGGCTCAGCACCAAATGGGGTTCTAGGGGAGGGCCCAGCTCAGAAGCACAGGCCTGTGAGGGTTTTTCCTAGAAAATAATACCTGAATCATGTGTAGGAAAGAACTTCCAGGTGTGTGTGTGTGTGTGTGTGCGTATGTATGTGTGTGTGTGCATGTGTGTGTGCGTGTATGTGTGTGTGTGCATGTGCGTGCGTGTGTGTGTGTGTGTGTGTGTGCATGTGTGTGTGTATGTGTGTGTGTGTGTGTGCATGTGAGCATGTGCATGTGGGTGTGTGTACATATATGCAGGTACCATGGAGCCCAGAGACCAGAAGCATCAGATGCCCCTGAAGTTGGCGGTATAGGCAGTTGTGAACCACCTGATACTGGGTGCTGGAAACCGAATTACACACTCTTAACCACTCCATGCTACATGCCCTCAATCACACCGTGCTCTTAACCACTGAGCCATCCCCCCAGTCCCATGGCTTTGGAGAGCATTTTTCTATGCTGAATCCAACAGCATGGAACTCCCTGCAGAGCCCGGTATTCAGAGAGCTCCAGTGTAGGTAGGGATGGGCACTGCCTCTACCCAGAAGCTCAGGTCCCAGGTTCTGGTGCATGGGGACACTCTGATCCTAAAAGTGTCCCCATGTGTATGTGTATGAAGGTCGCAATCCTGTCTCTTACTTTGTGTGCCTGGGATATATCTGGACACTTTGTCCATGCTCGCCTTCACCCCACCGCAGCCGCCATCACTGTTTGTATGGCCTAGGAGGGGACAGGGAACAGAGAAGGTGAAGCCATGCCTCTACCACAGCTGGCCAAGGCCTGGACCAAGCCCCACAAGGCAGCATGGCTCTGGAGACTTTGTCTATCTCAGCTCTCTTATGGGGTGCTGGGCACCTCAGTGATGTGTCCCAATACTGATTTTGACTTTGCCCCTTCCTCTTCAGTCAAGTCCAGTGTCTTCCCTCGAGTGGTTAGAACTGGGATCTCCTGCCTCCGACCTGACCTTAACCCCAAGGTCACCTGCTTACAGCTCTCCTGGCCTCCATAAGCCAAGGGCTGGCAGTGCAGGGCTGGAGCCGAAAACCCTCTAGCATATCTAGGGCTTCTGCCAAGCACTAGATTTTTCTAGCAGGAGTCTTTAGGGCTCTTCGGGATCCATGCCCACCCAGGTTCTGGGGCCTTCTCCTTAGTCCTTCCTACCTACTCCTGAAAGGGCACTGTGCTGGCCTATTGCTCTGCTACCACACATCCATCTCCCTCAGGGTCCTCCCTGCAACGGTTGTCGCCCGGTTCCACCCTCTGGGGCCACTCACCATGGGGGCTCCTCGGTGGCCAATGAGGGCAGGCTTAGGGCCCAGGTCCTTTTTCTCCATGATGCAGGGAGAAGAGATGGTGAGAGGGATCAGGTAGAGGCTGAAGACCACAGCAAAGAAGGAGCAAAGAACGGTGACCTGAGAGGCTGCGGACACAGGCAGTGGGAACTTCCGGTGAGTCGTCTGCTCAGCCCTCACCAGGCCCAACCAGGCCTAGCGGGCCAGATTGGAATGCAGAACTTGGTGATCTGAGGAGTGGCCTTTGCTCTTGACAGGAAGTGCACCCCATCTACAACTTAGGCACACATGTACACCCAGACATAGGGACTTGGAGCAGAGATCCAGAGCAACCTCTGGGAGCTTCTGTGAACCACCTAGAGCCAGGCCCTCCCCCTTCCCATGCCGAGCACCAAGGCCCCACCTCATGCCCAGGCCCCCCAGGTAGAGTCCCAGAAGGGACAATCTAAGCAGGCCTTGGTATTTGTGAAGTTCAGGATGCATTGGCCCTCCTCAGGGGGTACTCACAGGAGCGCTCTGCCCGGGCGAACTGTCCTGCTACGATCCAGGAGAGTGCAGTGATGGCCACCAGGGCCCCTATGTGCAGGAATGGTGCTGTGCCCTGTGTGTGAGGAGAGGCAGGGGGGACCAGGGACTCAAAGACAGGTCCAGACTCTCAGGTCACCAGCATGCTGCTGACTGTCTCTACCTACAAGACAGGCAGTCCTGTCTCCATTTGTCGGCTGAGGACACTGGGAATCCTGCAACGAGGAAACCCCTTCCTGTTCCGCTCTGAGCCTTGGTGTGGAGGCACATGCGTGATAAAAGCCCTCCCTGTTGCAAGGGTCCTGGGGAAGCAATGTCCCTGTCCCTGGCCCAGCTCACTCACCTGCAGGGAGATCAGCAGCACCTCCCATTCATCTTCCCACAGCTGGGCCACTGCTGACATGGCCACCACCGTGGAGGCCAGGATGACCACCAGCACCATCTGGAAAGGGAGGAACCAGACAGAGGGTCACAGCAGGAGAGAAGGGGACTTAGGTTTGGAGGAGGGGAGGAGGGGAGGAGGGGAGGGGAGGGGAGGGGAGGGAGGGTTGGGGAGGGGAGGAGAGGGGAGGAGAGGAAGGCAGGGGTGCACAAAGGCCAGGCTGTGGTGGCGCCTGCCTTTAATCCCAGCGCTTGGGAGGCAGAGGCAGGTGAATCCCTGAGTTCGAGGCCAGCCTGGTCTACAGAGCCCATTCCAGGACAGTCAGGGCTACACAGAGAAACTGAGTCTCAAAAAAAAACCAAAACCCAAAGCCAAAACCAGCAACAACAAAAACCAAAAAGAAGAGGAAGTTCACAAAGAGCAAGGAAGAGGAGGGAAGGAGAGAGCCTGGCATGGGCTGAAGGCAGCAGGGACGTGAGAGGAAGGCCGAGGCCGAGGCGAGGCAGGAGAGAGCTGTGCAGTGGGAGGGGACTGGGCTCACTCCAGGGGGAACTCCAGCCAGAGCAGATGCAGATGCCGGGCTCTGCTCATGGTGTTGCCTGAGAAACTGGCTGCCTGGGTCTCCTGAATCTGGCTGTTTTTTTTTTTTTTTTCTTGACACAAGGTCTTACGTAGCCTTGAACTCCTGACATTCCTGCTACTAGGATTACAGGAATACACCACCATATTTATGCTATGCTGGGGACTTCTGCATGCTAGGTAGACACTAGCAACTGAGCTACATCCCCAGCCCGGCTTCTAGGGTGTTCCACAGGAAGTGTGGGGGCACAGCTGTAATGAACACCGAGGTACCTTCAGGGACAGAGATCTGTGGTGACAGATGGCACCTGAAACCCCAAACTAAGTAAGACTAAGCTGGGGTTCCCTGCTTCCGTCCTCTCTGGAGCCCTAGAGTTCTCCATGGTTCCGGCCCCTCCTCCACCAGCAAAGCCTCCGAAGAGCACTTTCTGAAGACATCTTATTACAATAGCAGGCCACCAGTGGAAGCCCTTGCAATAAAACTGATTCCCCACAATCCTAATGCAATTAAAATTTCATCAGTTTTACAGTTGCTGCTGTACTACCCACCATGCTCGGCAGCATCATTGAAGGTTCGGGGAGAGACTTCTTCCCCATGGTGTCCTTCAGCCACAGGAATAACACAGGCTTACAACATCGTGACCCCTCCCAAACCTAACTCGGTAGACCCGAATTCAGCCATGGCATTTCTGTCCTTCTGGGCTATGACTATGATGGCAATGGAGAACCCTATTCATTCATTCATTCATTCATTCATTCATTCACTCACTCACTCACTCACTCATTCATCTGAGTCTTGCCTGTGTGCTGAGACCCAAGAAGAGTTGGAATCCAGCCTTGTAGATTGGTCTCTTGGCAGGTGCCTGGTTCTTAGGCCTGGGTCTCTATACCTGAGTCACACTCCTGGGTGAAATCCTGGCTCTGTTTCATTGGAGGAGGGTGCAACTTTGGGGAACTTCTCTGAGCTGGGACATAGGGACAGTGATGAGTGAGTGCCTCCCGGGGAGGGGTCAGGGACATAAACGGGAACACACATGCTTTGCACAGTGACTGCCACTGAAAGGAAATGAGTATTAGACATGAGTGCCACCACTCTGAGTAATCGTAACCGACAGGGGTGACAGAGGAACAGATGAAACCCTGGGGGTGGGGAGTGCCCGTCACACACAGTAAGCACCCAAGAAACACTGCTCAATGCTATTATGACAAACCTGGTGTCTGGCAGACAGGAAGTTCTCAAACGTGCCTTTCTAGGGAGCAGCTGGAAGGACAGAAGCTAGCCGCCAGAAAGAACTGTCACGTGCCCCAGTTGCTGAGGAACAGCCTGGATTCACGGTGCTGCTGGGGTGTCCAGGGCTCAGCAGGCACCAGCTCAGCCACACTTGTGGTCAGGCAGAGTCTCTGGGCTTCAGCCGGGGTGGCTGATAGAGCATCCTGGGACCAAGCCTAGGACTACAGCAGCTGACCCCTGGGGTAGGGAATTAGCACCACAGAGCAGAGCTAGTGGACACCACCACAGCTAGGAAGGTGACTACCAGGACAGTCCCCTCAGAAGAGGCATCTCAGATGGCTCTGGGTGGTGGCTGGGCACAAAGGTCGTCTCACAGAGAGGTCTTCTGTTTGCTACAAAACAGCTCCCCACAATCCCCTGACTTCCCTCACCTCCCAGGCCCCTAGACTTCTCCTGGGGATCCCTCACAGGCTGGAGCTCTGGGCCACAATATTCACCTAGTACAGATGGCCCTCTCCCTGCTCATTCCTAAACCCCTCTACCTTCCCCTCCTTGGGACTCAGGAGAACCAGGGACTTTAAACACAGACCAGGATTAAAATGTCCCATAAAACTGTCATCTTCAAAGCAATGTGACCCTGGCATAAAACCAGAGAAGTAAATGAAAGCCGAGTTCAGAAAGAGGTCTGACTGCATTAAAGGAATATAACGGCATTTCAGATTGGAGCGGGGAGAGTGTGTGTGCAAGGGAGACAGCTGAGGACATGCTGGGGACACTGGGAAGCATCTCCAGTGAGCTTGGCAAGATCACACTAGGCCCCAAAATAACTTCCAAAAGATCTATGAACATTTAAATGTCAAAAAAAGCAATGCCATACAATTACCTAGGGATATCATACAAAAATTTTCATATCATCTTGGAGTGGGAAGGGCCCTTCTTCAAGTCTGACCCAATATCCAAGGGCCATAAAAAAGATGACAGATTCAGGTTTTTGTGGTTGTTGTTGGTGGTGGTGGGTTTTTTGTTTGGTTTTTGTTTTTGTCTTATTTTTCGAACAGGTTTCTCTGTGTAACAGTCCTGGCTGTCCTGGAACTTGCTCTGCAGGCCAAGCTGGCCTCAAACTCACAGAGATCCGCCTGCCTCTGCTGCCCAAGTTCTGGGATTAAGGCGTGTGCCACCTCACCCACCCAGATTTAAATGTTTTTTTAGAATTAAAAAAAAAAAATCGTCCGGGAGGTGGTGGTGCACGCCTTTAATCCCAGCACTTGGGAGGCAGAGCCAGGCGGATCTCTGTGAGTTTGATGCCAGCCTGGTCTACAGAGTGAGTTCTTTGTGCCAGGAAAGGCATAAAGCTACACAGAGAAACCCTGTCTCAAAAAACCAGAAAAAAAAAAAAAAAGAAAGTAAAAAAAAAAAAAGAATCACATGGCACAAATACAATAAACAAAGTCAAAAGATGAACGACAAACTGAGCAATATTTAAAGTATCTGCAGTTCATCAGCCCAAGGGTCAACTCCCCAGATCTACCAGGAGCTCTTATAAATTAATAAGCAGACCCCGCAGCAAAAGGATAGGAGACAGGAAGCCAAAACTCCAGTGCCCACGTCTGTGAAACACCAAGTCCACTTACTGTCTAGGGAGCAGGGGTTGGTGGTGTGTGGCAAAGAGGGCAGTGGGCAAGATCAAGATTATGAAAATAGACCTTCTTGTTGGACATGGCGGCACATATCTGTAATGTGTGCACTCAGGAGGCTGAGGTAGGAGAGGATGAGTTTGAGATGAACCTGGGCTCCAGACAGTGACCCTGTCTCAAAAATAACGTAAAATAAAATAAAAAGCTGACAGCGGGAGTGGTGGTGCACACCTTTAATCCCAGCACTCGGGAGGCAGAGGCAGGTGGATCTCTGTGAGTTCGAGGCCAGCCTGGTCTACAGAGTGAGTTCTAAGTGAGACGCAGTCTCAAAATAACAACAAGAAAATAGAAAAAGGAAAATACACGATGTTTATTTTCTCCCAGATCACATCTGCACTGCCCTGGAAAAAGATTGAAAACCACTGGATGTTTAACAGGAGCTGCGTAGATACCTAGAGAATGAGGGGACAAGAGCAACTGACAGGCGCCGATGGGCATGGCCTTCCTGTGTCCAGGAAGGGCTCCTAGCACTTTTCTAAGAGGTGGGCAAAGGGGAGGTGAACTATGTGTGCATTTAAGAAAGGGAGGGCGCTGAAGAGACCGCGCAGCAGCAAAGAGCACTGGCTGCCCTAGCAGAGGACCACATGGCAGCTCACAACTGTCTGCAATTCCAGTTCCAGGGACTCTGACGCCCTCTTCTGGCCTCTGCAGGCATTGCATACAGGTAGTATACTTACATAAATGCAGGCAAAATACCTGTGCTCATAAAATAAAAATAAATTTAAAGAAAAAAGGAGCCGGGTGGTGGTAGCGCACACCTTTAATCCCAGCACTTGGGAGACAGAGACAGGCAGATCTCTGTGAGTTCCAGGCTAGACTGGTCTACAAAGTAAGTTCCAGGACAGCCAGAGCTGCATAGAGAAACCCTGCTTAGAAAAACCAAAGTAAACCAACCAAACAAACAAACAAAAAAAATAAAACAAAAAACAACAACAAAAAAATGGAGATCAGTGAGATGGCACATGTTGCCAAGCCTGATGATCTGCGTTTGAGCCCCAGGACCCACATGGTGGGAGACAAGAACCAACTTCCACAAGGTGTCCTTTGACTTCCATATATGTGCTGCGCGCGCACACACACACACACACACACACACACACACACACACACACACACACACGAGGGAGGAGGGTAATGAAAATAAAAAGGCAGTGTATGTAGGAAAATTTTCATTGAGTATGATTTTTTTCATGTCTGAATTTTTGGTCACATAAAAAAGTAAATTAAGACAAAGCAAGCAGACACACATAACAAGGATTCCTTAACTATGTAGAATTTCCAGGCCCTGGTCAAATGCCCTGAGCCTGGGAAACCAGTCCAGCCTGGATCAGCACTGTCTGGTAGGCCCCTCTGCCTCTGAGATCTCCCAGGATGGTGTGGATGGAGGACAAAGGGCCCGAAGCAGGAAGCAGGTTAGCTGAGGGACTCCTGCATGTGGCCTCCAGATCTGCCTGGCTCTGCAGAACTACAGGCTTCTCCCCTAGGATCAAGCACGTGTGACTTGACCTGCTGAGAGCCAGGCACAGCCCCAGGAGGTGACCACAGCATGTGTGCCCCATCCCCAGGTGCCAGCTGGTACCCTCTTTCAAGTGTTAGCTATGTAGTTCAGAGTAGAAAGGACCTCTTGGAGGGGGCTGAGGAAGTCCCAGAGCAGTCCTCAGAAAGAAAGACCAGCGGGGACTGTCCTACTGTTCTCTTCATCCCTGCAAGACTGCGGCCACCAAGGCCTGGCTCCCAAGGTGTCCCCGCTGCTGGCCTGCACCTCCCGTTCCAACTCATGTTCATCCGTGCCCTATCTCCCTCTTTATGTCCCTCTGCTAGCTGGGTCCATCTCCAGGGTCCCGTCTGTTTCCAGGCGTTTCTGTCCCTTCTTAGATGGTGTGCTCACTCGTAGCCATGCTCTGGTTAAAGAGATGACCCACCCTTCCCTCTACACCCTGGGGCTCCTAGACGGGGATGGCTCTATCTTGGCCAGGACTGGCCCAATTCTGTTCTGTGGCCTGTTCTGTTCAAGCAGAGCAGGCATTAACAGTCTACACTCAGTGTGTGTGTGTGTGTGTGTGTGTGTGTGTGTGTGTGTGTGTGTGTGTGTGTGTGAGAGAGAGAGAGAGAGAGAGAGAGAGAGAGAGAGTCAGATGAAGTCCTGGGACCTCTGGAATGAGGTCTGGAATGAACACTGAGGACATCAGGGAAGCAATCAGTGCCAATTTAGTCTTCAAGGAGCACCAAATTGGAGTGGGCTGGGATTGAGAGCCTGATAGAAATTGATAACACAAATGCTCCAAAATGCATCTGGGAGATGGGGAGGCTGCTGGGGCTGGGGGGAAGCCCCTCCCTTGGGACACAAGCTGCCCAGGGAGGGTTCAAATAACAGGAAACGGGCTCGAAGAGCAAGTGAGCAAATGAGGCCAGAGCAAGGCGCTAAAAGCCAAGGAAAGGCGGGCATGCTCAGGGGTGGGAATGACGTCTCCCACAGCAGAAGCTGACTATCCCATGGCAGCCCAGAGAGTCAGTCATCAGGACCGGACTAGGACAGTCTGGGTCATCCTAGGCCCCATCACCAGAACTCACTGAAGCCAGTAGGGGAGGTGGGAGCCCAGCCGAGCTAGCGCTGGTAGGCGAATGACTGTAGAGCTGAACCCTGGGCCTTCCACTCTCGCTGTGAGACCTTAGGCATGTTGACTAACCTCTCTGTTTTTTGCCCCTGCAAGGTGGGGTGGTGGCAGTGCCTACTTTGTAGGTCTGTGAGGGTTAAAGGGGTAAATGCAAGCTGGGCTGGATGGTGCCTGGCGCAGTTAGGGTTCAGTGGACTACGCAGCAGCGCAGTTACAGAGGTGACCCAGGGGAGGGACCACCCAGGCTATTCTCTGCTTCCACGCCTCTTCCCCTCCCTCGCTCCCCACCTCCCCCCGAGTAGAGCAGCTCCCCCTTACCTTGTGCAGCCAGTACAGGTTCATCTGCTGCCCCACAGCAATGTGACATAGTGCCAGGACCTGAAGAGGGTCCCCAGGGGCCAGTCAAGCCACGTGTGACGCGAAAGCTTGCCAGCTCTCCAGATGCCCTGCTCCATCCACAGTCCTGCCCTTGGTCTGACCCTAGGCAGGCAGCACACCCTCCCCACAGGCACCAGGAATGCCCAGCCCAGCCCTGGCCTGGCCTGGCCTCCTTCCAGATTACTCCAGGCCTCCAGCCTCCTCCTCTAGGAATTCCCCTGCGCAAGGTTCCTGGGTTTGGCACGCAAACTGCCCAACTTTATGCATCAATTGTTTGGGAGATCTAGGCCCTGGGATTCAGAAACAGGCTTGAGCCCTGTCCCCAAGGAGCCCCCAGTGCAGAGTGTGGTCAACCTGAGTCTCTTAGTGCGGCGGACATTGTGGGTAGGCAGCCCAAGCAGTTTCTGGAAGATGTCTGTGGTAGGTGCCGAGAACCAGAATGGCACTTTGTTGGCCTGGAGGTGGGGGTGGGGATGAGAAGGGGCTTCCAGAGGGACAGCTGAAGGGGACTCATAAAATGAGACCTCCTACCTTGGACTCAGGCCTCAGACCCAAGCAACATTCAAGGGGTCTGGCCAGAAGCCCACCCTCTCCTCACAGACCAGCACAGGCCATGTCTCCCTCTACTAGGAACAGACCCACATGAGCCCAGGGGAGCCTCTCCACACATACCAGGAGGCCTGCGATGTATGTGAAGGCAGCAGCTGTGGTCACGAGGATGGGCACAGACCAGTCGCTCCAGTAGCCCATGCGGTTGTAGAGGTACCTGGTGGGAAGAGAGGGGCAGAGGTCAGACCCCCACTGGGCCACTGCCTAGCCATGGAGCTAGGAGCTAGGATAATCTTAGTTCTCACACAGCTGCCGCTGAAGAGTCACAAGCAAGCCCTTCCCATCCCATATTGGCAATCAGTGCTTCCCTTAGGGTCAGTCATGCCTACTTCTGGTGGGCACTCAGGGCATGAAGCAGAAGAGCCCAGTCACTGTTCTGAAAGCCATTACACTTCCTTCCCACTGGCCGCTGCACTATAGACATGTGTGAACAGCAGATCTGGGATACACACTCCACCCCGGCCACCCTCAGGAGCATGGTCAACACAGCCCTGAGGGACGAACACACTCTGGGATCTAATCTCCACACTGCTTCTTGCTGGCTCACAGGACCTTGTGGAGGTGACAGGCACCACAGATTCTGAGATGCCCTTGACGGTCGTTCACCTCAAGTTCAATGACAGAATGTGCAACTATGGAGCTTAGAACGGATAAGATGTAACACTCCAGTCCACTCACCTGTAGGATGGGGATAAGAGAAAGCCCTTCACTGGGCTTCAGGGAATGAAGGGAGGGAGGCTTGTGACAAGGACATAACAAATGTCCTCCTAACGAGAGCACCCACGGAAACCAGGAAAAGTGCTGAGAAAACGTGATTTATTTGAAAGCAGCATGTGGTCTTCTTGCATTCCTGTGCCATCTATAGCCGGCTTCCCATTAGTGGAACATCATGGCTTGCAATGATTCACTTTCTAAACTAACACGAAGATGAGAGAATGGACACATCTTTTTGCATTTCTATTTCCTTGGGTCGGGTTGCTATAAACAGAATGTCAGGGCAGAGGGAGCGAACTTCTTAAGGGTCCTGGGGGATGCAGCTGAGCTACTCCCCAGAATGATGACTCACTCACAGCCTCCTTGTGTTTGTAGGGAATGAGAGACTCAGAGGATAAAGTAACTCACTCGGGGTATTAAAGAGTGAGCCAGCGTCAGGACAGACAGTGGTAGCCTGCCCGGAGCTGGGAGGAGACATCAGGAAGATTCCACGGGACATCTGCCTCCCTGTCCCTTCCCTGGGCCCTGCTCTGAGCCTGTGGGAAGGTCTACCATTCAGAAAATCACAGGCTAGGATATCTGACTGTACAGCTTGGGAAACTGAGGCCCAAAGAAGTCCAGGAATCAGCCCTGGAGCTGCTCCTGATTTTCTGGTCCCACTGGCCTCTCAAGTGTGGCCACATTGGGCAGGAAAGCCTCCAGGACCAACACACAATAGCTTACAGGTGTGTCCAACCTGCACAAGACAAATTGTGAATGTCCGTCAAACATTGTTGTGAGTTTGGTTACTTTGGGTGTGTTTGTTGTTTGCAATAATCCCACGGTGGAGTTCTCTAGCGTACACTGTCGATGACAGCCCTGTGTCTCAGTGTCAAAAGGTTGGACACTCTCGGCCCTATGCGGCTCTCCTTGCCTATGCCCATCCAGTGCTGACCCTTGGTGCTTACATCCTCTTTGTGCAGGACGTAATCCCAGAGACTCAAGGGAAGCTTCAGCCTCCCAAGAAACAGCTAGCAGGTAGAGGAGCTGCAGTTTGCAGGCAGGCCTCTGTGCTGCCTCCTAGACAGGGCTGGCATCTGCTGAGTCTTCCCAGTGACAGGAAGCTATTGAGGGTCAAACCTCCATCACTGATCCATCAGCAGCTTGCTGTGTGACCTCGCAAAGGCCCTTCTACCCTCTCTGAGCCGTATTTCCTCAAACTGCTCTTGACATGTGTCCTTGGCACTGACCGGCTGTATGACCATGAGTGAGTGTGACCTCCTCAGACCTCACTTTGTCCATATACACAGGGTGTGTGCTGCTGTCTAGGGATTGCCATTGAGGGCCAGCAAGCAATGTTCTCATGCATCCACAATACCACCCACGCTTTAGACACTTACAAAGATGCATGCTTGACCTGTGATATGTAATAGAGACCAGGGCCCAGCTCCGGCACGTGAGTGGGCCTGGCTCATCTTGCTGGGCTACAGGGCAGGTGGAGGCAACAGCAGTGTGTCCTTTACTGTATTCATTAATGACAGTGGTCCAGTCTGGGGCTTCGGAGAGTATGACAGTTCATATCGATCGTCAACTTGACAGAATCTAGACTCACCTAGGACGCACTGAGGGAGTTTCTAGACCGGGTTAAATGAGGCAGGGAGACCACCCTGAATGTGGGTGGTGCCAAATGGGCTGGGGTCCTGGCTTGACTAAAAAGCAGGAGGCAAGATGAGCATCAGAATTTATCTCCCCCTGAGCCTGATGTGATAAAAGCGGCTGCCTCAAGCTCCTGTCGCCATGACTGATGGGTTGTGCTCTGGAACTGTGGGCCAAAGCGGACCCCTCCTTTCTGAAGTCGCATGTGCCGACCCATTTTGTCACAGCGATGGGAAAGTAACTAACACACAGGTGGGTGGACAGCAGACGTCATGTCCCATTAATAGTCTTGGGATTCTAGCAGAATCCTTGAACCTCAGCCCACCAGAAGCCGAGTCTGACGAGCCCGGTGCTCTGAGTCAGAGCCTCCCTCGGGTGGAGACTTGGCCTCCCAGGAAGCAGCTCTGTGCCCCACCCCCACCCATCCCTCTGTCTCGTCCTCATAAGAACCTGATGAGACTGGAGTTATCCTACCTCACAGAGGGAGAAAGAAGCTCAGAGCGCACCAGAGGCTTGCTCCCTAGCCCTGACTCCCCACACTGGATACATGAAATTGGGCCTCAGTTTCCAAAATCTGTCAGTGGCAGAGTTCTCTCTCAGAAGCACCCAGGATCTTCTTCCCTGCCCATGCCTTTCCTGGTCAACACAAAGCTGGCAATAGAGGAGGGGAGGGCATGGGTAATATTGTACCTGCCCTTGGACCCGAAGTGCCCCTAAAGGAGGCAGAGCTGAATTAGACAGCGACCACTGTCCTTAATGAATACAGTAAAGGACACACTATTGTTGCCTCCACCTGCCCTGTAGCCCAGCAAGATGAGCCAGGCCCACTCACGTGCCGGAGCTGGGCCCTGGTCTCTACTACGTATCACAGGTCAATCATGCTTCTTTGTAAGTGTCTAAAGCCTGGGTAGTGTTGTACCTGCCCTTGGACCCGAAGTGCCCCTAAAGGAGGCAGAGCTGAATTAGACAGTGACATCTGCCAGCCATGCCAGTCCAGCCACAGGAGCCAGGGAGCCCGAGGCTAGGAACTGCCTCTTCTGCCCAGATCTTGGTCTCTCTTGGCCTTGAGCTCTTGTCTAGGAAGGGAACTAGCAGCCCTCCACCTCAGGCTGATATCATGCTGCCTTCTGCTCCTGTTCTTCACAGCCTGGGCCTAGAGAGCACCACTGGGTCTCCCTGTAAACTTTAGGGGATCTAAGAGCCAGCTCAGGCTAGCTCCCACGTCTCCTCTTCCAGGAAGCCTTCCTGAAGGCCTGCAGATGGGCAGGATCAGGGCTCCAGAGCGGGCCTTGCTTGAGGCCACAGGGGAGCTGGTTGTAGGACTCCAGGGCCGGGTTGGGCCCTGGGGATTCCTCCACTTACCAGTTGAACTCATCGTAGTCGTTGTGAACTTCCCACCAGAAGTAGAGCCAGGTGAGCGTGAGGCTGAAGGTGCAAGCCAGGAGCAAGAACCACAGGCGTTCCCACTGCAAGAGCAGAGCAGAGGGTGGCGTCACATCGTCACATCCTCACATCGTCACATCAGGTGGGCGGCTCCCACAAGAGCAGACAGCAAGGGAGCAGGACTAGGGGTCCTGCCAGGAAGCAAGTGGCAGCCTAAGGCCTTTCTGCTGCATCTGGAGGCCTGCCCAGTGTGTGCTAGTCCACTGTCCTGGTACTGGTCCCTAGGAACAAAGAAAGCCTCTCACGGAGTCTCCTGCAGCCCTGGCCGGCCTCGAACTCCTTATGTAGCTGAAAATGGCCTTGAGCTCCTGGTCCTCTTGGTCTGTACCTCCCGCATGCTGGGATTACAGATATGTGGCCCCAGGCCCAGATATTTTAAGGTTTATTTTATGACTTGTGTGTGTGTGTGTGTGTGTGTGTGTGTGTGTGTGTGTGTGTGTGTGTGTGTATGTGTAGACTGTGGAAGCCAGAGGCAATGGATCCTCCTGGAGCTGGAATTATAGGCACTTGTGAGATGCACATGGATGCTGGAAATGGAACTCAGGTCCTCTGGAAGATCAAAGTGCGCTCTTTGCCACTGTGTCAACTTTCCCGCCAACCAAGTAGTTTTAAGGTGGTGCTGGGTATGGAAAGCAGGGTTTTGTGTGTGCTAGGCAGGCAAGCACTGTCAAGAGCGACACCCCCAGCCCCTTTCATCTCCCCTGTTCCATTCTCATATGTTCACACAGCAGGCATTGCTTACCACCTCTACCCGATGCTACTGACAGAAACGCTGAAGCCCAGAGAGACCAACCAGTTTGCCAGAGTCACACAGCTAATTAGTAGAAGGTTAGGACCAGTGAGCTCCCTAACTGGAAGAAATGCAGCAACTGCCTTCTTCCCTATGGTGCTGGGGCCTCAGGGCTGAGCTGGGAAAGATCACACCCTGTGGACTCCTGCTGGAGTGGGTAAACACAGACCCAGCCATGCAGCTCCTGGGAGCCTGGGCTCAGAGGCTTGCAAGTGCATCAGCTGGCCAAGCCCTGGGGTTTCCCCAGCTTCCATGCCTCTGTTGAGCTCAGCAGCACAAACTAGGGCAGATCATCTTGCTATGCCCTGAGAAGCTGCTGAGGTCAACAGCAATGATCTGAAATGAGATTCGAGAACTCAGATTATTCACCCCTGGAGTGCTGAGTCCCCCAAAGTCCCATTTCTGTTCCGATCTCTCCAACACAGGATGGCCAGCCTGGCAAAAGGATCAGGAGTTCCAACTGGTTAATATCCTCCCGGCCCCTTACTGTTTAGCCAAGCAAGGATGCCCTTTCTTCTGTGTATGACCCCTGACCCCCAGCTTCATCCCCTCAACTGGGAAGGACCACAGGCTTAGGCTTGTCACTCAATGTTCCCATCTTCCCATGGAGGACCCATGCCACCCCCTCTGGGAAGCCTTCCTGGACTCAGCTCTAGCCCCTTGAACTCACTGTGCTCCATCAATGCCTCTCTTCTCCAAACTCACTCTCTGTGCCCCTAGATGGCATGGGACCCATTAGTATTGATGACTAGGAAAGAGGGTGTCAGGAGGAGAAAAAAACATTCCCTAACTTCCCAGACCCCCTCCATCCCACATCAGTAACTAAATGTTGTGTTTGGAGCCAGACTGTCTGGGAATCTCAAATCCCCATTACCACTGACAAGCTGTGCGTCTCTGGACAGGTTATTCAACCTCTCTGTGATTGTTTCTTCCCTGTGAACTAAATCCAATAATGACATTCATAGCACAAGGTTGATATGAATGGCCCCTTGCCACCATGCAGGAGAGGTTCTCAACCTGGATAATCCAGGACTGGGTACACACTGACACCCTCATACCAATGTGGTGACCCATGTTTGGGTGAGCAGCTGCCACCACTCACAGGCATGTGCAGAGCTAGGCTGCTGGGCCTAACCCTGCTCTGCTTGTAAACAGGGATGTGAAGGTGACATTTCTCTCAAGCCCGGGCCACACCAGGTTCGGGGGTGGGGAGTAGGGGGGTGAAGACAGCTTTTCAGAGAAAAGCTCACCGGTGTCCGCCCCACCTGGGCACGGGCCAGCACAGCCCTAGACTAGGAGAGAGAGTCCTGGCTAGAACAAGACAGGTCTTCCTGAGGGGACCAGACCTGGGGGGCCACTAAGATGGCTGGGATGGTGAAGGAGCAGAGTGAGTGGCACTCAGTCCTTCTCCCCAGAGCTGGCACCTTCCCTTCCACCAACACCAGCCCTAGGTCCAGTCCCGACAGTCTCACCGGTTGCCTCCCGCTCCTACTTGCTCAACAAAGGCTTGTTTCCTGGAGTCCAGCTGGCAGGTCCCAGGTCAGCTTTAACATCGGGCTCCCACTCAGTACAGCACACTCCCGCCTCCCCATCACGTTTCAAGCACGAACTCCCACTGGTCTCAGCTCCACAGACTCCAGGGCACACCCACAGCTAGCCCACTGAGGCAGAGGGAGGCTCCGGGGACGGGGAGCCTGAACCTACTGGGGCCTGTCCTAGGCAAATAGCCTGGGTGTGGAGAGGGCAGGCAGGGGACGTACCACAAGTATGACACAAGCCCCAGGACAGCTTTGCTAAGGGGCCAGGAGGCCAAAGCTGCAGGTGGAACAGCTTGGGGAGGGAGGGCAGGCAGGGGTCCTGAGCTCACTGGGCCACATCCCAGTGGTGAGGCAGGCCAGGGCACCTGTGAGGGGTCCCAGGCTCTCAGCAGCTGGGAACTGACAAAGTCAGAGCCGATAAGTAGGCATAGCAGGAGGGTGCGGGGCCTTGGAAACCAGGAACTAGGAACCTCATTTTCAGAAGCTAGGGCTGAGTGATTAAACTCCCTCAGAAGCTGGAGGTCATTAGGCCACAGGCAGCTGATGGATGGGGCTGAAGAGGCCCCGACACAGGAGGGAAAGAGGTGCATGGCTGTTCCGAGAACAATCAGAGGAAAAAACTGAATGGCGGGGGTTGGAAGAGAGGGGATGGGGAAGGAAGGTGACGAGTGGGAGAGGAAGTGGCCTCCCCGCAGTCCCACTGATAGAGAGGCTCTCAGGGGCACTAATGGGCCTTGTCAGGGAGAATTACCAAGGAGAAAGGCCTGGGCATGCTCTGCCCATTAGCGAGTGGGTCTGGCTGGGCTCCGAGGAGATACAGAGGGCACATTGCCTCACCAACCTCCGAGGCGACACCAGTGGAGCTTGAGGTCCTGGCCCTCCGTCTCTCTGCATGGTACCAGAGGGATGGGCACCCTCTGTCTCTCTCATGGGTACCAGAGGGGGTTATAGGAATGCGGTGCTGCATGCGATGGCTCAGAAAGGGAAGGACCCTTCTGATCACATCACCTGTGGGTAAGCAACTGTGCCTACCATTCAGTTAACCACACACGTATGGTGTTATGACAGTCATCTGGCAGACAGTAGACAAGGGGGTCAACATGGGCTGGGAGAGGTCGGAGAGGTCACCAAATAGGGGAGTTCTGAGATGTTCCCCCCAAACTTGTCCTACCCCACTGGGACTCGGTATGGCAACCCCAGGCCCAGTGTCCATTCACCCTCCCCTTTCTGCAGGCTGTACCCCGCCCCCAGGCCTAACCTCTGGCTCCTCCTGGATGCCTTTGTGTCCCTGTAACCCCCCAACAACCTCCCACCCCTGAACATCCTGTGCTGACTCTTGGTACCCAGCCACCTGCCCTCCAACGGCACCCAGCTGCAGAGCTAGGCAACGTATCTCAGAGCTGTGGCTTAAGCCGGGGTTCTGCCCTCGGAGCCTGGAGGCCTCGCCTATAGGATGGGAACTCCAAGGGTGTTGGAAGGGTGCTGTCGAGTAAGCTGAGCCGCTTCCAGTGACTCACAGTAAGTGTGTCATAAAGGGGAGTTCACTGGCTAGCTCACACATTCCTTGGGGGGCAGTGGGGCATGGTGTGACCTGGCTCCCCAGGGCCTACCAGCGTGTTGGGACACAAAGTGGGGCTAAGATATGGTGTGGGGAACCAAGAAAGGATGGATTCACGTGAGACTGTGAGATGCAAGGAGGCTAGGTTCAAAGGACAGACTGGCCTCGGACCAGGGGCCCACCGAGCCCAGGCAGCTGGGGGCTGGACCAAGGGAACAGCCCCTCTATGTTCACACAGGTGGCAGGTAGCAGAAGGCCTGTGCTGGAGTCTGCCACATGGAGAGAAGAGGTCTGGGTTGGGAGCGGGGGTGGGGGTGGGGGGTGGGGTGGCCTGGCCAGGCAGCATTCTGTATCCCTGCTCCAGGGGATAGAAGCTGAGGGGTGATAACTGACAGAGAATCCCCAAGGTTCCAGCCAACAACCCTGTCTCATCCCCTCCCACTCTCGCCCTGGTCCTCCAGGAGCTGAGACCCTTTGTGGCAGAAGGGCCACAGGTAGGGGTTTCATCAAAGGTAGGGCTTTCTCCTCCCCACCTCCTGTTGATGAGCATGTGACCATCCTCGCCTGTGGCCAGTCCCTCCCGCCCTCCACCCCCACCCCAGAGCCTTCTGCACTCCAAGACCCTGCTGACAGAAAGAGCTCATTAGCAGCCAGGCTCTGACAGATCCCACAGCCGACTGGACACAGGAAGCAGGGGCAGCACCCAGGGTGGGCCGACTCTGCTCCTGCGGCTTCCACTCACTACCAGCTCCTGTGAACTCCTGACTGCCGCCAGGATGCACACAGCTGCCCATCATTGCCGGTGCAGTCACGTTTTTGGGGTACCCAGACAGAACAGAGCCCAGCTTCTGAACTCTGTGATCTGACAGTGCCTGGCAGGAGCTGCCGGCCCCACCCTGGCAACATTGACAACTCAGAATCATAGACATTGGAGCCTGAGATGTCCCACTCAGTTCCTGTCTCCTGTGTACCCAGGGCAGGGTGGGAGTTCAGCCTGCTGCAGCTCAGGCAGCCCCAGGGAGAGCCCCCCAAAGCTCTCCCTTCTTAGACCCTCAGCCTGACCTGGGCTCAGACACTCAGCAATGCTGGGTTTGAATCCTGGGATGGTTATAGCTGAGTAGCCCTGGAGATGTCCAA